CCACTGAGAGACGAGATATGGTCATTTGAACATTTGAAGAATTTTCTTCAAATGGTCATATCTCGGCTCTCAGTGGTCCTAGAAAACTGGTTCTTTTTTTTGAAATGTGTGAATTTTCGTGAGCTTTCTGAAATTATCGAATTTTGGTTATTTGAAGATGGGTCCCCAGTTTCTTCTAGGATCCATATTGTTGGATCAAATAAATTGGATATGGAAGAAGAACTCAAGTACTACAAATTGGTACTGTTTGGAATACTGTATCTTGTCTATGAGAAAAGTTACAAGCCGAAACCGTCTGAGCAACGCGGTCACAATTTTATGGCCTGTAACGTTGCTCATAGACAAGCTACAGTATTCCAAATAGTACCAATTTGTAGTTCTTGAGTTTTTCTCTCATATCCAATTCAAACGATATCAAAATAGTGATACTAACAGGAACTATGGCTGTGTCCGTTTATGTGATTGTGTTATTTTCGGAAAACCCTTAAAATTTCACACATTTCTAAAAAAGGGCCAGTTTTCTAAGGCCACTGAGAGCCGAGATACGGACATTTGAAGAGACGCAGACAGTGAGAGTGTCTCGTTGTCTGCGTCTCTCGCTTTAGATGACTGTATCTCGGCTCCTAATAATGCTGGAAAAGTGTAATTTGAATACAAAATAATTATTTTCAGCTAATTCTTCAAGCCGAAAAAAATCTGAAATCCGCGGAATCGGTGGATGAAGACTTCCTGCTCCAATCATTCGTTTCGTCTCTAGCTTCCCCTCAATTTTCGATTCGTTCGGCAGCTGTGAATACATTTTCGAAGCTATTCCCACCGTCGGACGAGGATAAGCCATTCGATTTGGGGAAATTATCATTGGTTCCACGCTTTGATTCGAGAAAATCGACATATTTGGAGACGATGGCGAGTGCGATTCTGGTGGAAACCGATGCGCATCTGGCGAACTCGTATTTGCATTTTTTGACCAAAAATAGTATGGAAAACGAAGATGATCATAGGGTAAGTGGGGGGGGGGGGGGGTTTGGACGAAAAATGAGCTAAAATTTGACAATTTCGCCCTAAATAATTTGCATTGAAATGTATAGAAAGACCGCATAGACTCACAGAAAAAATCTGGAAATGTGCTGGAAATGACAGAAAATTTTCAGATTAT